ATCTATCTATCTATCTATCTATCTATCTATCTATCTATCTATCTATCTATCTATCTATCTATCTATCTATCTATCTATCTAGAGATAGACACAAACCTCCCATGACCCCAATATTTTTACATAATCTGTTAAATATAATATACCATATTTCTGCATTCTTTCCTTTGATCACAACAGATCAGAATTCTGCATGCTGCTGCCACACAGTAAATATCCAGAGTATTCTGTCTGATAAAGAATAATCTTCTTATCACACAGGGGTCTGTGCATCTACTTATCCAGCCCCCTTCTGTTAAACTGACTCACTAAAACCCCTATTTTCAACCTGAGCATCACCTCGGACTGCTTGGCTTATTTTGAGGACAATCGACCAGCAAATCCCCCTAAAAGGTATTTATTTTGAATTCAGTCTCTGGAGGAGGAAGTGTCTGCTCAACATGAGTAACAGGTTTACAGGAAATCACAGGGAAAAAGTAGCATAAAACACCCGAAGCCTCCATTTGGAGTTTACACTAAGGGGGAAAAGGGGACAACACAAACGTAAGACATCCCTACGTACTTTCTCATAATTTAGGAGAGGGCTGACTAAGAGAGTTGTGCTGAACAATAGGATGAGTCATGGGTCATCATGGACAGAGAGGATACTCCCTACAGTGACCACCATACTCACAACTCCTCTGGAGCAGGAAACAGATGTTCAAAAAATGTGTTAGTGTGGATGCATGCTGATGGTCGTGTCCCTGAGACTAAAATTGTCTAAAGACAGTTTTAATTTCAAGCAAATGTATGCATGCCAGGCCTCAATGCTTTTCCAATGTATTCTATTCTAATTGTGTAATGTCTGAAAAATTGTGTATAGCCACAATGAGTATGGGAGTGGAGACGTGCATCATCATGACACCATGTTTTGAGAATGTAGCTGAAGAAAATAACAGATTTTATTGTTTTGGAAAGAGCTGATCAAGAATGGCTTCATTTTTGGATTACAAAGCAGCAGCTCCACAGCAGTAGGAAAACTGGAAACCTTCAGTAAAGTTCTTTAAAAGCTTGAACCACAGTTTAGGCTTACTTGGCAAACAGTACTTAAGAGAGTAGCTGTATGTTTCGGAAACTATCCCTCCTAAAAAGTATTCACATCTCAGGGGAATGTCACATTATAGCCTCAAACTTCTTAATTTTCTTTACAGGATTGTATCTCCTAACTTTAATAAAAGCTTTTCCACACCTTGCTTCGTGAGTTGCTTGGTATTCATGATGCTTTTTTATTCAGTAATGATATCTAATAAACCTTTGTAGCCTGCACAGAAGGGGTGCGCTTATATTGAAATCAAATCACACTCGTGAATCTGCTTTTGGACTTTTCAAGGCATTTTATTTATTTCTTTTAAACAGGGGCATCAAACAAAAACGGGGTTGCATAATGCACATTAAAATCTGTAATATAATGCACTGAAGTATGTACTACTTTAATGTTGACACAACATTCAGCATTTATCTTTTTACTGGGAAATATTTAAAAATCTAAGGGTTATGAATACTTTTGCAAAGCACTCTATGTCCCAAAATCCTGAACACTTTCTTATATGTAATCATGAGCTTTCATTCTGAACAGTTAACACAAACTCCCCCAAGTTTCTTTCTTTTTTTTCTTTTTTTTTATCTATACCGGAACACATTGCACTCAGCAGAAGTATTGCCACAGGTGGCACAAACCCATTCCACATTGCTATGGCAACAAAACTTTTTGAAATGAGGCGAAGTGAAACAGGTTGAACAGCGGAGACGTTGCGTTTGTCAGTTTCCGTTTGTTCCCGCAAGTGGTTTCATGCAGGTTTCTTTAAAAATTCAGGGAAGTTTTTCTTAACCACAGCCGCATGGGTGTAAAACACCCAAAGACTGATTTGAGTTGAGTTTTTTTACATAATTTTTTTTTCTCGCAACTTAACCTCTATTTGTGAATATTGTTTACAGTAAGCAACTTGTACTTGAAACCTGACTGGTACTTTGCACCCTAACTCCTACTAGATGTTTGGTGCCACAAGTTGGAAATAATAATTTTTAAAGATTTAGAAAAAATAACTTGTGCAAAATAAAACTAGTGCGAGCTCTTACTGCTTCCATCCATCTTACAGTGCTGAAATCTTCTGACTGTTGACTTCGACCAATATTCTGTCATTGTTTCAGGTTTTCCCATGGTGTGTGCAAATCCTTGTCTGCAGTATGTGTGCAAGTGCCCTTATTTTCCTTTCATCTGGTGTTTTATGACTTCAAACCAGGTATTGTCGTTATCTAATAACCATGGCGACGTTATGTAAATAGAGCAGGTCTTCAAACCAGTTCTACCCTATATTGTTTTCCTCTGTAAAACTGGTCTAAATAAATATAAAATATTCAAAAATGAGAATGATGTCTGAACACTTTTTAAAGGTGGTTGATGCTGATAGTGTAAAGGAGATGTTGTAAATATTTGCGTGTGGATGTGGCGAGTGTAACCAGCAGCATGTTTGACCTACTTATGAATGACAGGGTCTTTATAGCAGCCAAGCACTCACCACGTGTAAAGGCAGCCTATGTTCAAAAGTTCTCAGCTGAGTCAGAGATGGTCTTTATTAAAAGAAGCCGTCACATGTCTAGTTTTTTGCTCTCCTAACCTGATGTAATCCATTTTTTCCACCCTCTCCTTCCTCACATCTAGCGGAAAAACAGCTGAATAGGAAATCACAAGAAAATGTGAACTTAAGTAATACTCCAAATGGTTTACTAGAAATTTCCAGTTATTTCCTTGGAGTTGACCTGAAGCCTTTTTTGAGCAAATTTGCAAGTGTCCGGTGTTCAAGCTTTAGATGATGTTTAATAAGGTTGTTTATTCAATAAAACTGGATAACCCTACCATTCTTAGTCTGTCTGTCTTAGAGCTGTCCAATGCTTGAGGTAATGCATTCAGCTGTTCCTGCCTTTCCCTCTCTTGCCTGTGAGTGTTCAGCCAAAGTTCAGTTAATTCAATCACTGCTGGATGACTCACAAACGTCCCTTTTCCCCACCGATACTCAAAGGAACAGGAACAGAGTTACACACACACACACACACATAGAAACCTACACACCCAAGATGGCTCGCTCCAAGTGGTTTGTGAGGTCAGTGCTGCATCAGCCTCCCAGTACACTTGTGAAATAATTTCTCCTTCAAATTCATTAGCCACTTCCCTTCTACTTCTCTTTTATAAAGTGATATGCATACATGCTTTGTCATTGTGCATTCTTACTTATGTATATTCCCCTTCCATTCTGTGCTCCTTGACACAAACAAAACAATCTGTTGACTTTATTGGGATGGTTAGGAGAAAAGATCTCCAATGTTTAAATACACCTTGCCAGTACAGAGTTGGACCCTTTTTTCTCCCTAGAAAATGGCTCAGAGACATTCATTGGATGTTTCGGACAATGGAATAAAGAATTATCAGATCAAGCAACATTTTTTACGATTTCTTAATGTTCAACCATGATGCAACTACCAAAAAAACGCAGCAACAGCTTTATATTCCTAGTTGACAGTGGTCCTCTGCTGCTTCTGTTTTTTTTGAGCCCAGAGACAGAATTTGTGTTTTTCCTCCAAATTATACATTTGACTTCCATTTTGCCCTGAATAAAGATATTTTGAATAATGATGAAAAATGTTGGGTGATAAAGTGTGGTAAAAACAATCATGCCCTTTTCAAAGCCACTTAATAAATCCTCATTTGTAAATCCCATATTGATGCTCACCTTGGAATTAAGTAAGTTGCCTTCATCAAGTCAGGATGTCGAATGCAAAGAGGTCCTTGCATGTGGCTGAACAACTTTTAGTGTTTTAGGTTTTCTTTTTCATAAAGAAAAAAGGATTGGCTGAAAAGATCAACATAAACACAGAAGTCATTCAAAACTGTTGCTAGGGGGGAACTTAATTTGACCAAGAGAGCCTTTCAAACAATCCTCACATTTAAACATTGTTTTTGCAGTCCATGATCTGGACTTTCCTGAT